TTCATAGGGTTGTCGAGCAGTATGAACGATTATAGTTTATGTCTATACCACTTTCACTAAATTCAATGAACATGTCTGCTGTTACGGTCAAGGGGAAGTTGCCTGAGTTAGTTGTTCCTTATTAACTGTGGAGTTTGCTAGTGAGATGTGCTTTTGCATTTGCCATTCAACAAGAGAAAGCTGCCAATCGTAGTAGCTGCCAATCGCTTCCCCGGAACATCATGGTTATGTATGTAATTTTTGCATATTCAGCATTGTTCTCAACTTACTGTTTTGAAGCAGAGCTGACATTAATAAAGACAGTGATGTTATTCCAGTGGTTGGGCGCAGATCAGAACATCTGATAACTGATCTTGCAAATCAGGAATATCCAGATGATTATAGATTTAAATTTGGGGGTTGTCCAGATGCTTCACAGTCAGTCGGCACGTTGCTGGCATCTCTGGCAACAAGGTTCGACCATCATTTGTAACCTCTCTGTCTCTGAGACGTAATCTATTGTTTTGGCCAAAGATTCAGATGAGAAAAATGATGAATGGAAAATGCGAAGATGCTTTTACGCCTTTAACTGTAGTGATTTGTTTTTTCTCTCGATAAGCGTAATCCACTTTTCAGTGTCATGCTTCGAAACAGCTGTTTGTAAGTACTATTTTTTTCTAGCTCCGGTCAGCACCAATGGCAGCAGTGACGATTATTTGGCGTTGCTAAATAAAATGGATAGGTTGGATTGGTGTGAAGAGGTGGATCGTCAGGAGGAGTTGAACCTTCAGCGACAGAAGCAGAAGGAGCAGGAAGAATCGAAAGCACAGAACGAGCGCGTGACGAAGAATATGGCGGCGGCTAAGCCGACACTCGACGCGCCCTCAAAGGAACGGCAGGACATAGCTTTAGTCAAACGAGGCGGTCTCATCCAATTGCCGTTGTCGATTCAGCAAGAAACCCGTGAGTCGAGAGGCTTGAGACGTGATGGAAGGAAGGAACCGACTGCACGTGAGTATTCATAAATAATTTGTTTGTTCTCCAGGGCCGAATTTAAGAGGGTCATTTTCTTCCATTTGTTGTCATTCTACAGATATCTGAGTTAATTGGCTTTAAAATCTGGGCATTCACATATGACACTGCTAGTCATGGCATCCATGCGGTATCATAGGCTATTAATAGGTATTATCATTCCTAAATAATATTATTTTGACTAGTAGTTTTTTGCTCTTTCAGTCAGCGTTATGTCTAAACCATCACAAGCTTCTTAGATGAAACTTTATCTTGATTATTTATCTTCTGTCTTTCAGCTTTTAACTTGATATGTTGGCAATGAAACTGTTTTGTGTCAGTTATGTCAAAATGCAAAATGAACTCACGAAATGGTTGATTTTTAGGTAGAGGCCGTCGGAGCCGAAACAGCGAGAGCAGCTATCGTCGCATGCCAGGCAGAGGCGGCAATGGCATGGACAGGGTTGACATGCGGAGACCCAGCACCCCGGATTACACCAGTTATCTTCCATCTAAGCCGAGCGTAAGTCCATACGGAAAACTGATGGACAACTGCAACGTTCGCTATTCATACTACTCAAATCCGGACATATGCTCGGAAAATTTTGTGTAATTCTTTGTTTACGATCCCTGCCGTTGCCAGGCGGTTCTTTGTTTAGAAACGACATTCCTCGAAATCTGGCTCCAACCATCTTTACAGAGATCACTGAGATAGAGGCACAGATGGGAATTAATGGACCGTGCGGCAGTTTTGATGAGAGGACTATCGATTTGGACCGCGTTTTACGTCTGAGGTAACATAGTCTTCGCTAGTCTCGTTTTTACATTGATGACCTAAGGAAACAACTGGAAAAGCTCTACCACGATGCAGTTATTGCTGACGTTGAGTACGCATTTCGCCACAACCTAGAACACTGTATGTGGAAGATGGCGTTCTATCAGCCGGTTGAGTTGCTGCGTTTCCTCGCATCGTCGTCATCCAGCCAAGCTGATCGGTGTCAAAGCTTGCTACTGCACCTGCTTGAGGATGTACCGCTTCCTGTTTGAAACAAAGAACTAATTTTCATAAGAATTCTCTTCTTGATAGGCACCTCAGTTCTATGAAAACTTCATCAACGAGTATGAGCAGAGATACGGATTTTTTTTGACAGATTATTTCCGCCACATCGACGAAGATTTAAGTAAGCCTCTTAAGCCAGTAATAAAGTCATCGGTTCGCCAAGTTAAACTGGCGCTTCACTCAAGCCAACGCTTCCTTATCGCTCTTGGTGATCTTGCGAGGTATCGTGAACAGTTCAATTCACCGTCGAATTTTGGAAAGTCTAGAAGGTACTAAAAATGCTGTTCTTACTTTTCGTTTGTGCACACGATACGCGTTTTTAGCTGGTACATAAAAGCGGTACAGCTTGCCCCACATAACGGTCGTCCGTATAATCAGTTGGCTTTGTTAGCAGTCTACACGGTAAGTCAGTCGATTTTCTTATTTTATCGACGACATAATTCATGCGACTTATAGCGCAGGAAATTAGACGCTATTTATCATTATACGAGAAGTCTAGCGGTGAAGCACCCATTTCTTACAGCGACTGAATCTCTTATGAGCGTTTTCGATGACATAGCAAAAAAGGTAATGTGTTTTCTTTTGTTATCATGGTTTGCCGCTGAGTTCACTTGCAAAATATCTAAGATTCGTGATATTCGTTATCTCATATCTTCGATTCGTCTTGTATTTTGATATTGAATATGTTCGCTGTATCAGTTCATCGTAAACAGATTTTCGTATGATTTTTTCAGCTGGATGATGCGCTTCATATTTTTGTAAACACTTTTAGAACAGACGATGCTACAATGCTTGATTAATTTCAGCAGATAAATTTTTTAATCACTTTAGTGAAGATATTTTTAGTCTCCAGTTTAACTGGACACATCACCTGAAACCTGAACTTTACGCCAAACAAGAATAGTGCAAACATTGCTTTCCCTAATTTAAAAGGGATGCAGTTTTTTGGATTTTGTTAGGGAACTCGTATGATGAGGTAAAAATTACGAAAGACATGATTTTACTGCCATCTGTGCATAAAAGTTTCATTAATACAGAATTGTCACTGTATAGAAGAAAAAGATTATCGAATTGCTTGAGACGCTGCATTAACAAAACACTTTCTTATGTAGAGTTCTTCATTATAAATAAGTTCCTTAGGTCGAAGTTTCGCTATGCCACTGTATGTGAGAAGAAAGCAGTAGTTTGTTAATTGCTTCATTCAGTGCTTGCTACGCACTTCATCAGAACTTATTAACCATTTGTATATTTGATGGAAGGAGATTGCTGAAGATTCCTGCCATATCGTAAGTGTAAACCAAATCGATATCGCACAAGCTGAACATTTTTCCAAACGTTTCGATTTTGCTTCAGAACGTAAGGATGTTCATATCACCTCGTTGTCAGTTTTTTATGCTGATTATTTCATAGTGCGTGACAGACATATATATATATATGTTGTAAAGCGCACGCAAGTTAAAAAATGTATAAAATTCCATACTCTTGACATCAGTCACTCTCGTAACGTAAATGCCTGTCTGGGAAATTTGTGAAGCAGTGTCATCCTCAGATATTCGTTGATCAGTTTTTGCCGTAATTTGTAATATTTAATTAATTTAATAATTATCAGTTCACGTCAATTACCAGCTGCATTTGCTGCATAGGTGGACAACTGTGAAGAACTGATGAGGGCGGAATTCGAATATCAGCGTCTTAACTGTAAGGGCTCGTTTGAAAACGTCGAAAGACGGCGTCGGGCATGCCGAGAGATTTGGATCAGTCCCGATGGTGTGAAGTCGAGCGAAATACAGGACGAGGTCAGCATCCCTTCTGAAACGGAATTGTTGACAAAGCCAAGTACGCCTGAGGTACGATTGGATTGACTGTTGATCTTTTGTTTTATCGACTCACTTTTGTCGTTTCAGCTTTTCAGGCGATGTGTTATGTATTTTCTTTATCTGACGGGAATGCTGTATACAAAAATTGGGTACGTCGGAATGCTTTCGCCAACAGCTGACTTCATCATAGTCTAACTTGATTTATTGTTCTTTGTAGCATGGAAAAGTTCGAAACGTTCGCAGTGAAAATGTTGGTTCAGTTTCAGGAGCTGTTGGAAAGGGATGATAACCCGACGTCGGCGCTCAGCCTTATACAAATTATCATGATATCGTTATTTATCGTGCACCATACGTCGATCAAAGGTGAAATTGCTTTCAGAAACATTTTTATCGCGTAAAGCTGGTGTTTGGTTATTGGTTCAGTTGTATTTTCATTCACAAGACATTCTCGTCTTCACAGATGAGCATCATTGTAAACAACGAGGATGCTGTGTACGGTGTTCTAGCTTTTACAGACTCTTTTAAGAAGTTAAATTCCATAGCTTCTTAGCATTTGGAATATTTCTAGTGTTTCTGCCATATTCCGTAGCGTATGTAAGTTTTCTTATTTGTAAATTCATGTAGTAGACCATAAAATTTAAGGGTTCTAACGCGGTTTTTTCCAATATTCGTACTGCTATTAAAGAGCCAACAGCGTGAAGCACACAACGGGTATGGAGAAGAAATTGAGTTGATTACCTGTCACGAAATACTTGAATGCAGATTAAGTGAAAAGCGGCTTGTTAGATATATATGAATTTCTTACATTATTGAATTTATGGCATCAGATTTTTTAATATATTTCAGTTAGACCTAGGGAATTACAAATTTATGACAGGATCGAACTGTTTATTAAATAAAAGGTTAATGCACGAAAATAAAATACAAATTATTGCAGATGCATACCTTAAATTGTAAGGTTAAATCTAATTTCAGTGTATTTAACAGCAGAAATGTTTGCGTTGCCTCTGTTATCAGATTTGAATTTAGATGAATTTTATAAAATATGCATTGATGTAATAACACATCGATAACGAACAGAATCAGCCTATTTAGAATGTTCATTCAATTCGTTTTATTTCAGTTTCTAAAGATTCATTGGTGCACTGTGATACGTGGCTTCTCTAAATTTTTCAAAAAAAAAACTGAAAAGTCAGCCAGAACGCTTCTGAGGGACGCGTTGCTGGCACTGGAAGTTGATAACCTGCCCAAGATGCAGTTCATAACCGAGCCCTAAGTCAGTGTTCTCTGTGTAAGATTCTAGTTAACTAGATTTAATTATTCTATTTAACTCCGCCTCTCGAAGTAAAAACAAACGGAGGCACTGAGAAAAGCCCTTGAGAAGAATGGCCTTTGACTCAGCAAAGGCAAGAGTGAATATGTGATGGGGTATTCCATTTGGGAGAATAGATTGAAATTCGTCAAACCAGTGACATTAGCGGATAGTATATTGCCTCAAACCGAAGAATTCGACTTCTTTATTTCCGTCCTGCAAGATGATACGAAAACCGCAGCGAGATAAGAATTCGGTAGAAAAGACCTTGGCTTGGCCCAAATGGAGAGAAGTGAGCGGATTACTGTGCGATGAGAAGTTGCTCACTGAACTAAAGGGAACTGTGTACATTATGATAGACCGGTGCGTCTGTGCAGAGTGGAATGTTTGGCTACCCTGAAGAGACAAAGTAGATATGCGAAAGTTTAAATAAATGTGTATTGTCGGCACAAGGGACCTCATCAGGAACAGCTTCATAAGAGACAGTAGAAGATAGTTCTGTCGCACTGATTGCAGAGGAGTTCATCGAAGTAACCAGCGTAGTTCGGTCAGGTGAAAAGTGAACTCTCAGAGTACATTGTAAGCATAGCCAAAACTGATGCTGTCAGGGAAAATAGAAGAAGACCAAAGAAGAGGTGGCGCAGTGTCGTGTGGAACTATATGAAACTGCGAAGAGTGAACGAAGAATTAACCAGAAACCAAAAAATGTAGAGGCAGTTGATTCGATTAGTGGACCCCCACGGAAGGGAAGATGTTTGAACTCCGCTTTTTGACAACACTCATATATTACTTCAAAATGCAACTGCATAAATCAGTCATGTTCTACTGAGTAACTCTGAGTAACAGAAGTGAAAGTCAGACGTATAAATGAAACCCATGAGGAGTCTTAACATTTTTAGTACATCATCTTCGATATTCCTCTGTTCTGTTTTCCTGATGAATATCATATTCTCATTTATCTTTGAATTTAGTTTTGTTCTGTTTTAGAAGTTGACAATGACATCTGTTTTGTTTTGCAACACAACGCGGTACAGTTGAGCCTGAGCATTTTCGGCATAATTTTGAAGAGAGTGAAGGACATGTTGTCGTCAGATGAACTTGCGCAACCGTCGAAAGAACTGCACTTATTCCTGCCGTCTCTGCACATATTTTGCCAATGGATGGCTACTCCAGCAACCTACAAGTTGTACTCGAGCTTAGTTAGCTTGGATGGCGTCGAAACTGAAAGGTAAACTATCCTGTGTGCTTTATCTAAAACTAATGATTTTTCGTTGCAGGTTTTCCCTTGATATCTGGTCGACGTTTGCTGATGTCTGTAACTTTCTGGAAAGTTCCAGAGATAAAGGAATTTTCAAAATTTGTTTACAAGATAAAAATGACGATGGTAAGTGAAACAGCTAAAAATGAGCTTCATAACTTGAAGTTAGTGCGTCAGTTTAAGCTTGTAAAACAATTTATCTCTTAAATTCTGGGCCTAAATTTCATCTATTTCACAGATGACAGGTATTTTTCATCCATTTCCTGTACATAATAAATTAAATCTCTTGATGGAAACGGTTTGAATTTCGCACAATAATGATTCATTAAATGAGTTGTTTTTTTGACTGATCTGATGACTTTTTGCTATATATTAAGTACATGACTGATAATAGTGATTATGCAAACATATATATTGCTCACTCTATTCATCTTCATCAGCCTTTGTCGATTCACTGCTGGATGAAGGCCTCTCTGAAACTTTGCCATAATCTTTTG